GAGAGAGAGAGAGAGAGAGAGAGAGAGAGAGAGAGAGAGAGAGAGAGAGAGAGAGAGAGAGAGAGAGAGAGAGAAGGGGGAAGCCATAGCCGCTACCTGGTTGAGAACCGCTGTGTGTGTGTGTGTGCGCGGCAGAGCCGCTGGTGATAAACATTCTTGTATATTGATAATTGGTATGAGCGCTGGTTCCCGCTGCATCCGCTTGGTTTAGTCGCTGGCAAGGGGGAACGCCGGTGGGTGAAAAAAAAAAAGAAGAAGATCGGGGTTTCAAGTTGAGGGCCGAATAAAAGGGGCATAGCAAGGAGCAAGAGGAGCTCGTACCTGCGAGCGAGGAGCTTCATCGACGGAACGTTCATTAGTGAAGTGCTTCGCTGCCCTGGCCCTGTCGTTTATTGCATTTGAATTTTGTTGTGCATGGTACCTTCCCACATTGTTTTCTGGTGACCTCTGCTGCAATTAGGGTTTCTGTTGACGTCATCTGATACTTGGTCTCTTTGCTGTTGTCGGGTCTGTCAATCTGTGAACGCATGGTCTAGGTCTAAGGTAGCAACTCGGCAGCCGGATGTATCTCTGGACCTAGTAGGGAGAACGGGCAATGAGCAGCAGGCTCTCGTAAAAAAGCCAGGCTATGCCCAATAACGGTACTGACCGGCGTACGACCGAAGACTCTAAGAGACGCAGTGAGGAGTTGTAGAGGGCAGAAGGGTTCGCCAGCTGTATAATGCACAGGTGTAGGGGTGAGACGTAAGCTCCACCAGTTGAGGACGCCAGGGAGTCCCCCCAAGGACGGATCCTGACCGGCTAGCGGAATCGCTGGTGGTAGTTATACCCGAAAATCACTGCAATCAGTGAGAAACCAGTCTATGTCTTGAGAGCAATTTTCCTATGGTGGGCACGATGTCCTGTTTGCGTCGTTAAATAATTCCTGAGGTCTGTGCTGGCAGAACTGCCGGTTGCCCACCGGATTGGAGGAGAGCTGTAGTGACAGACGTGGGGAGGGAAGTAGACTGTCAGACCCTAATTTAGGTAGGATTAGTACAGGTGTTGAGGACTGTCAAGTGTTAAGGTGTAGGTCTACGTGGTGAGGAGGTGGAGTCCAGTCTACGTGGTCATGGGGTTTGCCCAGCCGTTCGGCATGCATGTGGTGAGCCGTTCCGGTAGGTCAACGCAACCCTACTCCGCTGCGGAGCAGGCCGAAATTGATAGGAAGTTGATCAAGAAGAGGAAGGAGGAGGAGGAGAAGAAAGAGGAGAAAAGGAAAAAGAAAGAAGAAGAGAAAGAGAGACTGGAGATGGAGAGGAAAGAGTTGGAAGAGAAGGTAAAGATTCTGGAGAAGCGAAAGCAAGAGGTGGAAGTGGTAGAAAAAGAAGAAGAAGAAGAGGAAGAAGAGGAAGAAGTGGAAGAAGAAGAACGAGACGAAGGCAGGCTGGAGGATCCCAGACAAAGAACAGGAGTAAGGACTGAGAGGGGGGAATCTAGCCAACTACACTTCTACCCTCTTGACACCCAAACATGGATGGAGAAGTTTGGGTTTAGGAAGGACGAATGGGCGGAGGAATCAGAGGCCGAGCGGGTAGAGCTCGTGGCAAAGATGGAGGCGGCAAATGATGATACCAAAAGGGAGCTGATCATGCAGGAAACGGAAAATGAGTTACAGCAACGGCTCTTGACAAAGAAGAGAGCGGAGCTCGAAGAGGAGGAGGTTGAAAGCAGAAGGAGAGGAGCTCGAGCGTCAGTTAAGGGAGCAGAAAGAACGCGAGGGAGATTGGACAAGTGATCGCGCCCTTGTAGTGGACGCCCTGCTGCATATTAACAAAGAACTTACCGTCATCAACAAGTCGATAGTCCGGCTAGAGCAGCACAATCACGAGTTTAAGGGCACCTGGAATAACTATCTGAGTGCCGCCGCCCAGAGAAAAGATCAACGTGTCGAGGGGTACGCCCAGCAGTTATAGGCATACATGCAAGCGCACGTCGTGCGGGCGGTTCCCTACGTGCGGCGCACGCGCCCGACCGATCCCGTGCGGCGCACGAGTGTGCGGAGAACGACCCGTCACCCCCCTCAGGAAAAAAAAAAAGGCCGTGGTCGAAACGGTGCGTTTGAGGCCCCCCACCAAAATTATAAGCGAGATGAAAAAAAAATTTACAGGAGTAATGCCTCCCCTTGCTCCTCCTCCCCTTCCTCATCCTCCATGTCTCCTCCTCACTTCTCTTTTTCGTCTCCTCCTCCTCCTCCTCCTCCTCCTGTTCGTCCTCCTCCTCCTGCCCTTCCTCATCCTCCTTGTCTCGTCCTCATCTTCCATGCCTCCTCGTCTCCTTCCCTTCCTCGTGTCCTCCCTTTCCTCCTGTCCTCCCCTTCCTCGCCGTCCATGTCTCCTCCTCCTCCCACTCGTCCTCCTCCTGCCCTTCCTCTTCTCCCTCTGTCCATCTCTTCTCCTCCCCCATCTCGACGACTCCTCATTGTCCTCGCTATCCTCGTCGTCCTCCTCGTCCACATCCTCCTCCTCCTCTCCATATCCCCCTCTCCTTGCCATATCCCCATCTTCCTGCCATACGCCCCTGTTCCCCCTCCCAAAAAAAGATAAAATAATAAAAAACCTGCACGATTCCGCACAAGCACCCCCCCCACCGAACTCCGTACGGAACTCTGCACGAATGTGCGGCTCGTGCGGTTGCAAGTATGGTTAGAGGGTATATTTACCACAAAATTAATAGACATTGTCACCACCTTGAGAGCAGGAAGTGGTAGTGGAGGTGGAGATGGTGGAGGAGACGGCGATGGAGATCCCAAGGAGGGGGACAGAAAGGTCGATCCTAGTCAGCCTGAAGGGGGCGAGAGAAGGGAAAACATGGAGGTGAAGCTTCCCTAGATATCCACTGGGAAGAGAGGAGAATTTCTTTCATTGGAAAGCACACATGGGCACCCCACTCCTCCTCCTACTCCTCGCTCGATCTATGTCTGTCGTCTTGAGACCGAGCTTGCCTAGATCCGGGCCGACCTCACACTCTAAGCTTGCCTAGATCCGGGCCGACCTCGCACTCTTACGTCTTCAACGACCCCTACCATCACAGGTGGTCGCGCCTTCGGGCGCACCCCCTTCTTCCTCTACTCTTCCTTCCATGCCGGCTCGCTTCCCTCGCCCTGCACCCCCTCCACCCCCATCCTACCTCCCTGCTACTCCCAGGTTGTTGCGACCTCTTCTACCACAGCTCCCTCACAGCCTATCATTGCTGCCCCCGTCGCTCCCCCATGCGGCCCGAGCGTACAGTCAGTTGTGCCCCCTCCTCCCAAACCTGCGCCGACTTACTCAGCCGTAGCGCAGGCCTCTGCTCCTCGATCTCCTCGCCGCCAAAACAGTGGCGCACCAATCGTCTGCTTGACGGCATTGCCTTGTATGATGGTACAAGGATACGCGTGTCTCGGTGGCTGCAGTCTGCCACCCGCACGCTCCAGCTCATGGGCGTCCCACCCAACACGTGGGTGGCTCACTTCTCCACGCGCCTGCGTGGCGGTCCTTTCGATGCCTGGGAGGATTCTTACACTCACTCCCTTCGTGAGGATCGGACCCCGACCTTCATGGATTTTCAGGCGTTCCTCGAGGATCGCTTCGGGCCCAACATGACGTGACTGACGCCTTTGAGCGTGTTGTCTGTACACGCTGGTCCGGCTCTGGCACTGCCGGCCTAGACCACCACATCCAGGTCTTTCAAGACGCCCGCCCCATTTGAGATGTGGCGTTCCTCCCCGAGGCTGCCCTCATCGATCGTTTCTTGGCCAGCCTTCCCCTTGAGTACCGCTCTAAGGTATGACGGTACGACTTCACATCCGTCCCGCAGGCTTACGAGGCCGCCGAGGCCCATCAGCGGATACGGACCCGTTTTCAACCCACTTCCTCCTCCCAGCCTCAACGTACTGGTTACGCTCCCCCCTCCTCTCACGACACTTTCCAGCGTCGTTCCCCTTTCCACGCTCATCCCCGCCGTTCC